GTTCACCAACAGTCAGCAATCCGATGCAGTGCAGTGACTTTAAATATGGAAAAAATGCGTTCAAAATTAGATAAATAGGCATAATTACGTCGACTAAAAGCCTGCAGTAGTTATTAAAATATATTTATCGTACATGCGCAACCTAATCTACCCTTAGCGATTGTTCTTCTGACAGCAATTACTATGCTATTTGCCTCACCTAGCCTTTTGAGTCATTCAGTCGTACTTTGCACATCTCAGCCTCGAATGAAAAAGGCTTCAGCATCGACAAAATGTTGCTCCATTGGCGTTGCTGCTGTCATTGGTATAGATTGCGGATTTCTTCGTCATCTTGGTCGAACCCTTCTCCACACTGCCTAGATGTTCGAATAAGTACTTCCGGTGCGATGATCTAAAGAACTTTCCGTAGTTCGCACCGTTTGCTATCAAACATAACCTTTCATTTCAAGACTTAGTTCTTCCACTTTGAGACCTGTAAAATATAAAATTTGCCCATCCTTGTATGTGTGAGATAAGCATCCCCAAGCTATACGCCAGTAAAGTGCGAAACAAGTGACTGCCAACAAAGAAACAATGTGGCATTTCTGTTTGTTATTAAAAAGATGCGTCAAGTTACTAAGCGGATATATTTTAACTCAATAAAACGAAAGGCTTTTATGTCACGACAGATTCATGCGATCGCTAACGTCCAATGGGCGCTCAGCTGAACCCAAAAATGCAGCAGTTAGGCTTCTTGATGTTTGCTTACCTTGCAAATACCTGTCAGGTTGGAGTATAGACCAATTTCTTAGATGTCTAGACGGTGACTTATCCAGCAGTCTGCACCATAGAACGTTTTGTGTTACCCGCACATTGCGTTGATCCTAGTTCCCAAAGAAAGCGGTTTAGTAGTCGCCAATAAATCGAAAAAGCCTGAATTGATAGCTCGGGAAGAGACTGTCGATGAGAGTGGGGGGGGGAGTTTGGCCTGTGCAAGACTGCAGAATGATAGAGCCACTGCTGTTGCAACTGCAATCTGATGAGAAGTCGATCATGGTTTATTCGAAATGTGATGATAGTTCGACCGTTGATTTCGACCAACCATATGCTCTAAACAGTTTGGTGCGTGGACGGTGACTGGGGACAAAGGCTAGCTTTAAGTGAATGTAGCCGTTGTAAATTATATACTGTACTCTCCATCTTCAACACCCTGGTCCGGTGTCATGTCAGAGTCAGGAAGAACAAAGGGGTCCGGGCACAAGGTCCCTCCTCCAATGTGGGCGCGTGATCTACTTCTTTTTGGGCGAGCTTGCTTTTGGATGTGGCTATATGGGTTTAATCCTTGATGAGCTTACTATATTAGGAAGTGAGGCCAAAGAAACTTCTGACCCCGGTCAAATTGCTTGGCGCTGGCGCAGATGCGGAAACTACATGCCCTAAGATTTTGACCTTGTCTCGAAGAAGTATGCATTTCACTGGCGTAAGAATGAGACCTGCTTGCTTAAGGCTGTCGAATACAACCTGCAGCTAATGGTGAAAATGTTAGCAGGGCATTAGAAGCGCGGCAGGCTTATCTTAACAGTGAGGGAGTCGTTTTATCTCCTGCATCCCGCTGAGGGGAAGATGAGGGGTTGCTTCAGCCCAGAGGCTTATCGCTTGCATAAGCACGGGGCTCATCCCTTAGGCGGAGGGTGATGACGAATTGGGGACGTCGGATATATCATCCCTGGTCTGCTGTGATTGGCTGCTGTGGACCGGCTGTCAAAATTAAGTCGGCTGAAGTGGACTGTGAACTCCTGGGTGAGTGATCGTTCGTGATCCTGGGTGATGCATACTATATCCGAACGAACTTAGGTAACGATATATGACCCGTACCAGTCGATTACGAAATCCGACTTCATCCTCTAGCCAGTCGAATAGGCCCTCTGGTATTCGCATTTCACGGCCACATGTGAAGGCGAAAGGGGTCTGGTTAGAACCCCAGATCTGCCTGTATCTGCTGGTCTGTTGCAACTAGCGAGCTCGTCGCGGCCTAGCACCCCTCCCCCCCGGTAAAGTGGTCTGTATCAAAACCAAAGTCCCATAGAATAATCAGTCTGTCCACTTTCAGCACGATCATCAGGAGCTCGTGGAGGCCTTGAAAAACGCGTTTTTTGAGGTATTGACTTTTATCGTTGGAGGCGCGCAGAGTTGGAGGGGGGTGGCGAATTTCCGATACTAGTGGAAATGCAAATTCCAGGACGTAACTAAGATTACTGGAACATTGAACTTTATTTGCCTGATGTTTCGGGCTCCTGCTCAAAACCATCATCAGAGG